TAATTAATTATAGTGCATGAAGTAACATATATATACATATATAGTTTCTTTTATTTATTTATATAATTTTCTTTTCTCTTTTTTTGTTTTTTTTCTTTTTCTCATATTTTTTCTTTTAACGAGGCGACATACCGTCCGGTATAATACCGTATTTTTTTCAGCGATCATAGAGTGATCGTGCTGATAACGTGTTATAAATAATTACTTTATTTTATGGTGTATATAAATATAAATAATGGAGAAAAAATTTATACCCGCAGAAGGATCGGGATACTGAAAATAAAGAGATGAGAGGAGGAGAGAGATTTCTTATAACTTCTTCTCTTTGAAGTATGAATTTTGATTTTATTTATAGAGAAAAAGATAAGTTATTATGCACACATAGTGACGATGGGTTCCACACAAATTAATAAACAATTAAAAGTTTTAACGCGTGCGTATATTGTTCACATATTTGTTAGCCGCCCACGTTGATTTTCATAACACCTCTCAAATTTATGTTTTTCTTATCCACTTTCATGAATTTGTGATGATTGGCCCACCTTTTTTTTTTTCGCCGCAAGAAAAACAAATTCACATAGATTGACTACATGTATAAGTACGAGAAACACAATACCAAACCAAAATTAGAGCTTAGTTCTTGCGAATTGTGATCTACTTATTTAAACAACCTTGTCTGTGATGTAATAATCTAAAACCATCTAAATAAATAACAAACTGTTTAAAAACTTTAAACTTTTGACTTTTTTTTATTAAGAGATCTTTTATCAATGAACAATCTGACCATTCTCAACACCTAATCCATACAAAACACCAGAATATTTCTCCATTGAACCAATGAAGAAATTCTCCTGCAGCTTCCTGAATGTACACGACGTTAACAAGCTATCCGATCCCGCCTGGTGACATATCCCAACTCTCTCAACTTCAAGCAGCTCCGCCAATTTGTTCAGACCTCCATGAAGACTATTACAGAACTTCATCAAGTGTTTGATATCGTAAACCCTCGGGAAATACACACTGATCATCTCGAAAAACCCCGTTTGTGTTTCCGGCAGATTCTGACAAGTCAATAGCTTCAACAAGTAACCAAAATCATATCCGCTGTGGAATGTAACCCAATGAACGTTTTCATTCAAAACAATCCCTGATGACATCAAAAGCTCGGCGAAACGTTTCGAATCGATACCGAATTGGTTGTTTTTAGCGAAATCGATGCCTGATTGACGAAGAAGCTCGATGGAATCGGTAGCATAAATGTCGGATTCGAGGTCGAATTCACGGAAATTGAACTGCCAGATGCAGTATTTGTTGTCTGTTCCACACGTTGGGAGGTTTCCTTTCTCATCAGAGAAAGTGAGTCCGAGCTGAATCATCTTGAGTATGTTGACGTTTGTTTTGAGGGTTTCATAGTGGTACTCTGTGTTGGTTTTGAATGTTCCCACTGGTCTACACACGATTCCGGGGAACTCTGTGTCCATCGCTACGAATGGGAAATCGTCGACGACTTCTCGAATCAGAGCCATTTCTGATTCGAGATTTTCGTTTTTCCCAACGACGACAGCGTCAGCGGATTTGAATCGAATCGTCTTTTAGAAACAGCGACATGACGATGATAATGATGATGATGATGATGAATTCGAGTAAATAAGTTAAGGAGCATCTGGATCTAGAGCAAGATTCGATCTAGTTTCATCAGATCTGCAATAGATTCAACAACAAAAGAAATGAATCACTAAAAACATCCAAAACCTACTGATTTTGACATAAATCTCAAACACGATTCAATGAAAACAGAGGAACCGACAGATATATAGATAGACATATAGTAAGAGGAGTTATGTCGGCTGGGTTCGAACCTTGTAATGAAGCGAAGTGGATAGATATGTTTCTTGAGAAGACGGCGACTTTTTTCAGGCTAGGGTTTGAGAGGTCGTGGTGGTTTATTGAAGAGGATATAAATCACCGACAATACTTTTTTTTTTCCCTTCTCTCTGTGACTGTGTCCAAGCTGTTCCTCTCTTTTTGTTTTAATTTTTTTTTTTTTTTTTAAACGCTGTTTGTTTTCTTCTCCCTTAGTTTTATACGCAACTTTAGTTTTATTTTATTTTTTATATTTTTTAATTCATTTCTGTGACAATTTTCTATATTTTTAATTTCGTCGAAAATTTTCAGTAGTAGAACCCTAAGTACACTTACATTTTTATTCCCAGTGGCATTAGCCCAAACATATAAACCCCAATTATTCTTTTACAATTGAAATGCATCAAGCCGTCAACAGATATACACCCAATGACCCAAACTGAACAAAAGAAAAACAAAAAAATAGTTAAACAGTACTGAAGCAAATGAGGAGGAGAAGGAGAGAGAGAAGTATACAAATGGTGGATGATTTTCAGCTTATTCCCAGTTGCAGACTCCAAAGTTTTATCTACTATTAAGATAAATGATGATCCTGCTGGATTATTTTTATAAGATGTGAAAGGGGCCAGATATTGCGTGAAACTATTGCACACCGCGATCAGACAATCTACTTGAAGTTGCCAGATTCAAATGGTTAGAGGATTGAAAATCCCATCCCCTAAAAAGAATCAATACTCATCTCTGAGGAGGATCAACTGTCCTGACATTTGCACCCGTCATACCTTCAATCTTATCTTTGGTGATCTCCACAAAGTGACCAATTACTTCGTGAAACTGCTTAAGACCCGATAACGGTAGAATGATGGAAGACCTGTCAGAACCTGCTACCTATATTTTCATGTATTGAGAAATGCTTAATGTTAAATCCATGATACAATCGAGCTAAACCAGCAAAAGATTGTTCTTCCAAGATTACCTCAGATATCCTCAGGAAATGGCCCCTGTTATTGTTCCCAAGATCAAAGAAGAACCGTTTCTGGTCAGCTCTGATTACTTTAGAAACAGTTTCTTCCTGGCCTGGCGAGTCAACTGATCGATCCACATTATGTTCTGAAGAAGATGGCTGCTGACTACCATGGCCAGGTATAAATCCAGCCCCAACATCATCAACCAAGTGTTCCTGTCCATCAGAAGGTTTCTGTTTCCAAAAGGAAGAGAGAATGAGACCAGAGAACTTAGTTGACGGCATTTCAACCAAAACTATCAAAGGAGACGATAATACCACCTTATTTGGCATCACAAAAAGTCCTGATGCTTCATGAATCTCAGCCAATATATTCCTGAAAGCTGCCCATCCTTCATCAGGAGAGCTTCCAGCTGGAACAATAATGGTACTTCGATTTCTACTAACCGATGCTTCTGACACCTAACACCACCACACCAAAACCCATCACAACCAGAATGGCGACCAAAATGAAATGAACATTGCTAAACATATAGTACTCCCTAAATCTCCAACTCACATATACCAAAGAAAAGAAAAAACTACAAATTCATTGAGGAAAACAATACCTTCAAGAAGCGTCCTCTTCTGTTCTCACCAATGTCGAAGTAAAACACCTAAAGAAAGCAACACAGCAGAAATTAAAGAGAGTCGAAAAGTCAACGAGCGTACCCAGAGGAGAGTGATGATAAATAAAGTTAAAACCTTGGAATCAAGCTGCAATTCTTTGCTAAAAAGCTCGTGTTCCTCAGAATTGACATAGTAATTGAAGAGATCAAGGAACCAAGAGATGCCGGAGGAAGGAACAATGATGGTTGACCTCGTCGCCGACGTCTTCTCCGATATCTTTAGATACCTTCCACGAGGATTCTCCTTAAGATCAAAATAGAAAAGCTTATGCTCCACTTGCAACGTCTTGCTCACCAATTCCACATCGCTCCCTCCTCCTCCTCCGGTTGCCGCTCTTCCGCCTTCAGCTCCTCCGCCGGAATTAGCTTCCATTTCAATCTTTAATTGATCGATCGGAGTAGAAATTTCGGTGAAATCTCTTCAGTGGAGAGTTGAAAAAATTGACGTCTGATCTGAAGAGGTAAAGGAAGTGCGATTGGGAAAACGAGGAATTGGTGGAGGTGAGAGATTTCGGAGACATAAAGGGTTTAATACCGGACCGGATGTTTTAAACCGGATACATTGTTGGGTTCCAACATTTCTAATTGGTCGGGGATACTCGGATTAAGCAACAAATATTTTTTTCCGGGTCACAAAAATTTAATCTCTATACTATTAATTAAAAGACAAGTACAAATAAAAATGGGTCGGATCAAAATCAGCAAATTGACCCGAAATTCTGAAATTGGATCTTTGAAATTTTTTTGGAATATAAATTCGAATTAATAATGAAAAATCGAACTAAAATCAAATATTTATGGAAATCAAATAAAATCTGATTGTACTTATGGTAACTAATTATAAAAGCATATTCCGAACAATAGTATACATTAATTACGTATAATATATTTGTTCATATATTTTTGGAACTAATTCCATAACAATCAACGTTTTTGTCATTAATTTTGCTTATTTTAGCCAAAGATATCTTACTTGCTTTTAAAGATTTCTAGAAAATTTATCACAATTAACCCATCTATTTTAAAAAATTAAATAGATATTTTTATTTTGGTCCTGTAAATTAAATAGATATGGAATCCATGTAGCTAATTTTAATTTAATTAGATTAAATCAAAATTATGGTATTTTCATACGTACTTATAGCTTATCAAAGAAGTTTAATTTTAAAATTATAAAGATTTTTGTGGAAGCCCCTTTGGCCCATTGGTTGACCAAGGGTTGATTAATGCTTCTACACCAAAAGGTTTGGGGTTCGAGTCCCAGATATTGCGATTTATTAACAAATTTGCAGATTAATGGAGGCAAGTGTGCAAGAGATCTCCAGCGATGTACAATTATAGCCGTTCGTCATGATTCTACGCAGAGAAGGAAGTGTCGCCAGGTCGTGAATCATTGAAGGTATTCATCAAGATTACGAAGAATGAAGTGTAGTCTGTCATGAATCTAGTAAGGGTCGAAAGAAATTGCCAGTTGTAGAATCGTCTATGTAACAATTTTCATAATTTGCAATTAATAATAAATCTAGACGACAAAAAAAAAAAATTATAAAGATTTCTTGAATATAATTTTTAGAATTATTCAACAAGATGATAAATATTTATTAAATTTTGTGAATCATGAAAAATATTAATTAATTTTTTAATCATTATATTTCATCTTTCAATCTCTCATCTAACAAATAAGATACAAATTATATTATTCCAATGTACAAACTCTATTTTGTTGTATGACTAAATAATATTCCCATTAGAGCTGTCAAAACGAGTTGATTCGTCCCATTAAGTCCGTTTTGCAATAGGCAAAATTTATCTTGACATGTAGTTAGTCGGTCCGCACAACCCACGGGTAGCATATATGAAACACCAACCCATCCCACGAATGATGCTAATTTGCGGGGTTGTTCGTAGATTTGTTTAAATAATTTTAAAGTAATCAACATTTAAAATACTACTAAAATAAATAAATAAATAAATAAAAATTTAGAGAAAATAATTTTATATATCATTATATTTATAAATATTATAATTTCATTTATTAAAAGTTTTTAAATTACCACATGGTGAATAAATTATATTTTTATCAATAAATACTAACAAGCGGGCTGATCCGCCAACCCACGGACGAAAACTGATGACCCACTGCGAATCAATCCATGTAACCCACTTATTTGTGGGTTTAATATATTTTCCCAAATCTGTCCCATAGTAAGATGATTTGGGCTCGACCTGCAGTTTTTGACCTATTTTGACCGCTATAATTCCCATGAATCGTCTAATTTTTGAATTCTAAAACACAAAATTCCATTTTGTAAATCATAATTAATAAGATGGGTTTAATTATAAACAATTTAACATTTTCTCTACAATTCGCTATTATGAATATTTATAAGTACACTACACGATTCGCTCATGCACAATATTAAAATCAACGTATGTAAACTAATATTCTTCCGTGGTGGACCGCGGGTCCGATCCTAGTTAATAAAGTAAATAATCACTTTTTTATTTAATTATTCTGGCCGGCTTCAGAGAAATCAATATACAAACCGATCGGTTCAAACCGTATGGTTTGATTAAAGATGTGTCATAACGAGTTGATGCCACGTATTCATCATAATTAGGTGAACATGATGACTGGAATTAAGGATGTGTTAGTAATTTTTTTTGTCGACCATTTTTGTAACTTTTGTTTCTGAGTTCTTCTTTCTTTTGATAAGCTTTGTCCTCCTCTTAGAACCAAACATGGCGAGTCTTGGCCATATAGCCAGAGAATCCTCCGACATCAAACGCCTTGCCGAGTTTTACAAAGAGGTAACGATACCTAATCGACGTATTCAATTTCTTACACTTTTCTTTTTTATCTCTCTTCTCGGATTCATCAAATTCTCTGTTCTTGATTTGTGAATTGTTACCACCAGTTCGACAAAAAGGAAACCTTTGATTTAAGTCTTTGTAAAGATTATATACCCATCAATCTGGAATAGAATCTAGGGTTTGCAAATTGGCTTTTGATTTAGAGATTTGTGTTACTTTTGTGGATGTGTCTCGTTTCTAATTTCTGTTGAGAGTTGTCCACATTTGGAAGAGAAAAAGAACTAATATTTATCTACATGACTTGTAGTAGTCACAATGTGTCGTAATCTTAATCATTTTGATCAAATTAATGTTATCTTCATCGTAATCTTCTTTATTTTATCTTTCCTTCCTTTTGTTCTGAAACCAATGGCTTATTTTCAGGTGTTTGGGTTCGAGGAGATCGAAAGTCCTGATTTTGGAGACCTAAAGGTGATATGGCTAAACTTACCAGGTGCTTTTGCAATGCACATTATCCAGAGAAACCCTTCAACAAACCTTCCAGAAGGTCCTGACAGTGCTACCTCAGCGGTTCGTGATCCTAGCCATCTCCCAATGGGTCACCATATCTGCTTCTCCGTCCCAAATTTCGACTCTTTCCTTCATTCTCTCAAGGTATTGTTTCTTTGGCATTGCTTTGATTATACAGAATGAGGAGTTATGGAATCTAGACTGGTATGCTTCCTCAGC